CAAGTTTCACAATTTTTTTAAAAATTTATAACAGACCTCAGAAAAAGTCCAAGTAATGGATGGATGGAGCAAATCCTACAGAAAACACCACAACTTTTTTCTGCTTTTCAGAGCTCGTCATGAATTCTGTATAGATTTTATGATGGAACCACCGAATTTTAGCAAGCTCGTCTCAGACACAAATGCATCAAACACCAAGAAATCGTCGGATTTTGAAACTTGCAAAAATGGATTATGATTTTACACTAACTTTACAAAGCAAATGAGCGTTTACCGCTTCAGATTAGCAACTTCAAAAAATTCCGAGTACAGCCGGAGGCGCCCTGGAAAACATGAATTATGATGATTTTATCTCGCAAAACTTGATGAATCGGAAACCATAAACAACTGGTAAAAAGAGGAGAAAAAGCTGCGTCGAACGACACCGAGTTGCTTGCCGGTTGTGTTCTGTGAGGTTTGAGTTGACCAAATATGGAATCTGATGGCATTTTAAAACTGATTCCAGAAACTCTAGGAAGCAAGCTTAGGAAAAGGAAAAAATTACTCTATGTCCTATAGGGTTTGCTCTATCTACCTGCCATTTGTACTTCTTCGGAGAATAGGTACAAAAATTTTGAAAAATTGCAGAACTTGACCATGGCAAAAAGCATGAGTTGAAGATTTTGTTAATTTTTCGAAAGCTCAGTGAAAATTATGCAATCAAATTACAACCATTAGAAAGAGGATGAAATGCTGCATCGAATGCTCTAAGTTCTCTTGAGAATCTTGATTCCATGAAATGTGGCGTTCATTTGAAAAAAGCGACATTACTTTCAGAACGACCTAATATTTTTACAGAAATCATGATTAAACTTGAATTGAGAAAGGAAGAAAAGCCTAGCGAAGAAGAAAAAGGGAAGGAAATCTGAGAATTACAAGCCGAGCAAAACTTCCATACGTATCCCACCTTTAAGCTTTAACTTAGCGCTCTCATACGAAGATTGCATGTCTTCTAGAGAAAATATTCGCTACCACGGTCAGGTGAAATTACGGCTCAAACACCACTTGTCGAGGTTCCGTGCGATTCCGATCAGTAAACAAGTCGCGCCGCTCTTACAAAGCACCGATTTCGCTCGCTGAACCACTCACAACCATCTGGAAATTTCAATGGCGGACTGAGTGAGTTCAAGAGGGGGAGTAAATCGTAGAGAAATTTCAAGCACACTATAAGTGAAGGCTTATAAAGTCACTTACTTCCACACAAACGGAGGCGACTGGCCAAAACAAGAGGAAAGCCTCACTTTGAGTACAAAGTGCATTTAGCTTCCTGTAGCTATGTCTGGCTTGACGCAAAAACATTTAGTGCATTCTCGTGAATATGCCTAATTCATTTCACCACGCCAAAACACATTACTGAGCACATCAGCCGACTTTTTTGATAAGCAAAACGTTACAGGAAACGCTTTGATACAGCTTTATCGTGAATAGTACTGTTCTTTGATCAAGCAAGCAGATTATTCATTTAGCAAGATGATAAGCTCCAAAAATAGTCACATCACCTCCTTCGCAGTATAGTTAAGTCGAAAAAAAAAACCACAACAAGTGTATTATATGTGGGAGTACTTACGAGCGAAACACCTAATGTCCTGGAAATGATAAATGAGGTTGTACTGAGCTAGATACTTGAACTGAACTACTCTGTTTTGAATCTCTCTGTGCGATTTCAGGACATGATAGATAGGCGCGTGATGTTTTCGCCTTGCTCTGGAATGAATGCCCTCGACAGCAACCAAGAGGATCACTAATGCTCGGGACCCGAGGCTGCTAGATATCTGTTCCTCGTACTCAACGAAAAACCACGTTTGTGAGAAAATCTTCAAGAGGGATGGAACATATAATTGACAAAGCAACTTACAAGGGAAGCATACTAACCTAGATTCACCTTCTGAGATGAACATATATTTGGAATAAGCTTGGAACGCTGATTCTAAATGACCTGTTGCCAGTTGTTTAGCGTTACTCTAAAGCGAGTTATGGTCTCTTTTTATGCAAAATTTGCGTGCTCCTCGACCTACTGATACGGTTTCGACGTCTAAGTGGTTTTGCGATTGTATAATGCTAACTTTCAAGATGAAAGAATTAATCCGATGCTGTTTCAACATCCTAGCAAATTTTTCGAGCAGATTGTTATCTACACGCCTTCTTACGACATTAAGAAGTTTGCTAGTTACTCGCAACAGCAAGCCCATTACTCGCTTGGTAATAATGCTAAGCAGCTAGGAATAGCATATTTGGGATCAGCGTTCAAGGCTGATTCCAAATATATGTGTCCCATCTCAGAAGGCGAATCTAAGTTGGTATCCTTCCCTTGTTAGTACGCCTTAAGCTAAAATTATATGAAATGCACCCGAGTCAAGTGCTCATTCAAAAAAGGATTACTAATACGCAGCTAAATTCCGCCCCAAAACCTCGGCGTCCTCCATGAGGTTCGCACAAGTGAGAAGCACGGACCTTTACACCGTGTAGATCACTAGCCATCTAGAAACAAAAAAACATTCGCAGCATATGCTACTCCTCAGATTTCACGCATCTAGCATTCTAACGTTTAAATCTACCTGCCTTTTACAGCCCTCGTCTTAGTACCAGATCGTTATTGGTTTTCTAATAGTCGCCGCAAAGCCCTAGCAAAGATCTTCCTAAACTCTGCGGATGAGCAATGAGTATGCGCATCGGTTTCTTGGATGATTTGAACGGCAGGAAACCGTTCTCTTCTAATTCACCGAAGATTACATTTTCCACTCACCAGATGGCGCTCGGAGAAATTTTAAAAATTGAATTTTCAGAAATTTTTGAAATATATTCTTATCACTTACAAGTAATAAAAATTCACTTGCACAAGTTTATAACCCATGTAGGCTTTTTCCGCGACCCATTTTCGAGGGACTTGGAGACGGAGGTGCGCGCACTGCCACTGCACTACCCTGGACATGGTAAGGATGATGGATGAACATTTACAGATTTGCTTACTATAGATAAACTGCGAAAAAGTGGGCGGTGACAACTTTGGAGTATATTTTAATGTCACATTGCCTAGCTGGACTCCAAAAAAAGCAGGGAAGTGCACCTTGTGATTTTACAGCTGAGCCGTCCTCTGCTAAAAAACTGGCTTTGTTTCAAAACGATGTAAGTCGGCATCAGAACGGCTAGAGAAGCTCGAACAATTTTATCGCAAGTTATGAACTACCAGACAACCATTCTACCAGATAGCGCTAATTCATGAAGAATTCAAGATGTGAGCGCCAAAAAATGAGTAATAAGGAAGAACCTAACGTGCGGAATAGTACTCAACCTATGAAGCATTTCCCTAGTCGCAACCGGCGACGAACAAAACCAACACTGCCTGCATTGGTAAGTACAAGGCCACGTCACCTGCGCTCGAAAAGACGCTGCGTGCATGTAAAAGAGGGAGCTGAGGTGAAAAATCGTGTTTCTCAATTGAACGAAGGCAGTCAGACGTGGCAAGGCAAATAATTATGAATGCTGAATTTCACGGCCATAATATTAGGTTGGCACGAAAGTCCTTGCGTAATTCAAACGAAATTCAATAACTTTTCAAAGACTAAACCTAAATTCGCAATCTTGTATGCTAAAAATATTAGAAGTCTCACGCTCCATGATGGATGTTCAAGCACAACATTCCATGAGCTAGCCATCGAGAAAGAAGCTCTCAAATATGGAGCTTCAATTTTTGCGATTTTGAGTTTGGTGGCAGAAAATCGCAGAGTGCCGCTAGCTAGCCGAAAAAAATTTGTAGAATCTACTTACACAGCCAAAGTCCATACGTTATTTCAGCAGGCTTTGATCTCGCATGGAAACGCGAAAACAAAAAATTTGTGAAATTTCTCATTTCGCAGGACAAATCCCCTTATCGCTCTAATTTTTCCACAGAAACGCAGTTTGCAACCAGAAATTAGAAATAGTGCCTATTTAGAGCCTTGCAACGTTTTCTCGATCGTAAAAAAGTGTTTTCGACGAAAACTGCAGACATGAGGGGATTTTTTCCGCAAAATGACATATTTCACGAATTTTTTGTTTTTGCTTCACCGTGCAAGATCAAAGCCTTCCAAAGTAAAATATGGACTTTTGTTGTGTAAGTAGATTCTACAGATTTTTTTCGGCTAGCTAGCGGCATTCCGCGATTTTCTGGCACCAAACTCAAAATCGCAAAATTTGAAGCCCCATGTTCGAGAGCTTCGTTCTTGATGTCCAGTTCACGGAATCTCATGCTTAAACATTCATCATTAAGCGTGAAGCTTCTGATATTTTTAGCATACAAGATTGTGAATTTATGTTTAGTCTCTGAAAAGTTATTGAATTTTGTTTGAATTACGCAAGAACTTTCGTGCCAACCTAATATTTCAGGCAGAAATTGATGGCGCGATACTGATGGGTTGTGATAAACAGAATGAAATCATCCAGGCGTGCACAACCTACAAACACGCCCGTGAAGGAGTCTCCTATTTTTTGTTTTGAATTATGGAAGGGTGTTTGACTGATTATGAAACTGATATGGTGAAAAAAAATCGAAAAACCATCATCACGTATGCTATAGTAAGTAGATAAATGCGCTTTTTGCTTATTATGAGTTTTCTTTACAAAGCGCATTTACTGTAACTTTTCGGAGCAAACAATGCTCAAGATGCTTGTCGAGCTTTCTCCGCAGAAGGTTATTTCCAGGTTGGTTATGATTGTAAAAAAGAAGCTTCAAAAGCATCTTCAGCAGTAAAATGGTCATTCCTGTTACAAATCGGGAGGAGAAACACCACCAAGAAGTGCACAAACATCAATCAGGAACTAAATAGAAATTGGGGCGGTACGCTTACAAAAAGCAGAGATTGTCCAGCACATGTGGGATGAGAAATGATGGCTGAAGGATGCCTAATTTTAGCTTGTTCCGTAGATTTCATCATAAAGATACAAAAGAAAAAGATTGATGGCTGAACAATGGAAGGGACTAGTACCTGTACATCAAATTCGTCATTAGGTGGAACTGCTCCGGCACGGTCCACACGAGATATAGTACCGTCATCGTCAAAATGGAAGAATCTGGAATAAGGTTTGCTAAAAGGGTTTCATTTTGCACTTTGTCTAGAAAGGCTTCGATCTTGAAGAAACTGGGAATTGACCAACCAATGTCGCTCACTGAAGAGTACCGCGACCGTACAGTACTGCGTTTGTAAAAATACGCAGACAGCTATTTCCAAATAATTTCTCAAAAATGTTCTGTCATCAGCGCTCGACTCAAAGTTAGAGATTCTAAACAAAAAATTTGCACTATTTTCGTTTTCTTCCTTATTGAATGCGACAGTTTCAAGCGAAGTCTGTTCGCCACCGACTTCAAATAAACTGTCATGAAATCAGACGTTAATTGTAATGCGAAAAAGATGGAAGTTCTTTGGAGTCAATTCCAATTTAATTGTCACTATCGATCGATAAGTGCACAGCAGATAAATGCGAAATCTATGCACTAAGGCTGTGCACTATGTTGCCGCTGGTGTGTTGCCCTTACCAATATTCTTTCAAGCATAAAATCTATTTGATGTGAGTCACCTGCTGCTCCCCGAAGGCTTCAGCCACTCGTGTCCGTCCTTGCAAAGCATTCGCTCACCTCCACAGCTTTCAATGTCAACAAGAAACGTGCCGCCATCACGGAAATCGTGTGGCACTTGCGCACAGATTCTGAAAAAAAAAAGCTGAGTTTCTTGATAAACTTCCTTCTTTCGCAAAAACTGAAGCAAAGCCACATTTGATGTATAATTGAGCAGAGAGACTTATGCACGAGAATAAGCAGCAGGTAAAATTGATTTTCTCTTTAAAGTAGTAGGATTTGAAACAATAATACGTGTAGGAAACACGTTTTTTAAAGTCACACTTATCCGAAGATACTTGCATGGAACCATCAAAAAATGTGATTATGGCGATTTGAGAGACCACTAACTGCGATTTGAGGGTTAAAAAAATCGCAACTTTCAGCCATTATGTGCAGTTAAAGCTTGACGAGTAGAGGACTATAAGTCGCCGAATATAAGAGGGCCCCACGCGGACTTCTTGCAACGTATTCTCCATGCATGTGGAAAGGTGCGTATTTGTTGCAGATGTCAGGGGCCCCATTTCGGCGACGTATAGTCCTCTACCAACTAAAAAGTAAGGGCACTGGTGAAACTTCGGGCTGAGTAAAGACAGCTTGGGCCACTTCTAGGATTAAGACACAGAATCAGCGCGTGAGCTCAGCGTAAACAGTCATTTTTATAAAATTTTGGATTTCAAGGTTTGATCGAGAGACAAATTTGCTGATTGCTGTATCGAACGAGGAGGTTTGTAGGGGATTTTCCTAGCTGCATTACACTTAAGCACTAGTTTCGCATTTGAGAGGAAAATTTGAATGGATCATGAGTGTGACTTCATAAACCACGAGTTACTCGCAGCGAAGGATGTGCTCGAACTGTAAAAAGCAAAGAGCGGTTGAGGTTTGCACAACTGCCAAAGACACACAAAGCACCTTGAAAGCGAGCAAGCATTTCGTAACGTTGCATATGCAAAGAATTCATAGATCGATTGCAGAGCGATCATATTTCGTGCAGCTTTTGTACGTTGTTTAAAGATTAAAATGATGTGTCTATTTTTAGAAAGTTGTAGTTGCAACAGCAACAAATACTTGTTCGCCTCTTTATGCAAAACAGATGTCCAAAAAAGAACAGAAAAGTGAGTCTAAATTTTATGGTAGAAGCATGAGGGTTGAGTATTACACAAATTTGCAGAGAAACTAGCTCTAGAATTTGCATTACTTTTCCGATATGTGCCATGGGTCTGCAATCCAAATCACCAACCTCTTTCCCTTTCCAAGGTTTATTTGCAAGTGTTTGGCACTGAATGCTTTTGCGACAAGTCAAATATTTCCGCAAGTCAATGCGTAGTAAACGACTTTGAGAAACAAATCAACAAAATACAGGTTGATGTCACGGTAAGCCTGATTGCACGGCACTAAATTTTCCTCCACCTAAGTAAAACTTCGACAAAGTGATGTTTAAAACAACAAAGCGTAAGAATTTTAGCAGTTTTCAAAACCACCGGCAGCTTTAAAATCTTCACAACAAACTGATTAGGATGCAGTGGCCTCACTGTAATGATTCAGAAACTTCTGAAATTTTTTCCAATAATTCGTGAATCAGTTGGCCCTATTCATATGCAAAGACAGAATACACAATTCATCCCATGACTGAATACAAAACCACCAACTCTGTTTTCGCACTTTCAAAAAAGGAAGCGAAAGCGGAGTGGATACGTGCTTTTCCGAGAATGAGTCGATAGACTTTCGAAAGCATCTAGATGAGTCACAAAATCAGCAAAAGATGTGTTTTCGTTTATGGAGTCGAAAAAGGCTGCGAAAATTCTTCTCGCAAGGAAAACTTTTATAGGGCATATTATGTTTGGAAATCTTGCGAAAAATCTAAGAAGTCCCACAAATTTACGACGAGTGTGGCTAACGTCATGTTCATTCGAAAAAAAATTGATGCCCCGATGTCCAAAAAAATCTACAGATAACCACTGCTCCACAAACCATATGCATCACAAACAAGCATCTATCGTCGACTCTAAAAATCGTGACGACGGTCTGCAGTGCGGCCAGTGCGCGCCGCACGGCACCGCCGCCTAGTGATTCGCCCAAATTCCGTGGAGAAGGTGAGTTCTTGTGATTTTTCTTTTTCTTTTTGCATCTTTTTTGCTTGCAGGAACTTTCATGGCTACCGCAGGGAGCCTACACTGCTGAGAAGTAAGATTGCCTTACGATAAAGAGGCAGTGCCGTGCGGCGCGCACTGGCCGCACTGCAGACCGTCGTCACGATTTTTAGAGTCGACGATATGCTGCACTGAGGGCAGAATACCATCGAAATTTCTAATTTTTCATCTCTAGCTGGCAACTTAATGATAGCAGCAGAAAAGCAATAACGCTAGCAGGTGAAAAGGTGGTGTATAGATTGGCGAAAACATTGTTAAGCCGATTTGGCGGATCAAAACCTATGCCCCTATCCCTGCTCCTCAGAGTGACAGGGAGGTGCTCTGGTTGTTTAAAAGAAAATGTCGCGAGCAGCCTTTCTGCAGTCCCCTACTTCCTAAAACACTAATCAAGAAAAACGTGGAAGACTTGTCAAGCACACTTATTTGGGCATGTTCATGGAACTGAAAGGGTCATTGAAGGTGGAACCAGTTTCGTCAACGCAAAAATAGGGAAGCGACCAACAAACGATGAGAACGACGAACTGCGAAGGACGAGTCCGTCGATGTCGAGCGAGGCAATCGATCTGCAGCAACCGCAGGCGGCACGCTGTGCTGGAAGAGAAAAGACTCAAGCGGTAGCTTGAGTTTGCGCTCAGCCATTCATCAAAACGTGCACGTGAATGCAGGCGGATTGCTATCATGTGACAGTCAAAGAGTTCTAAAAACTTTCCCAGCTTCTGTGTACGCAGAATGTCAGAAGATAGAGGAGTCTTGTTAAAAAACGACCCAAAACCTTGCAGTGAACGCGTCGCATATGCACCGCAACAAATCTTGCTCAGTGGTGATATGTACTAGTAAGACTTTCCCGAATATAAGTCTTGGGTATCAAATGGGTAATGCTGCGTAACCGAGGCATGAAACGATGTAGCAAAAACGGGAAATCATAGGTTTATTCAAACACTGGCTAAAGCTGACTGCATTTTGAAAGCGTTCCCCATTCACTACATAGAAGAAATGGGGATTTGAACTAGCGAACTTAAAACGAAACTGATCTTATATTCTACTGAGGATAAAGCCTATGCTTTCTAGCAAAGGAGTCCCCGTTAGCCTCAGTGGAGAAGAAAGTGGGCAAAACACGGCACCGAAACAATGCGTCTTCATCCGTGCGTAATAAAGCTTTCAGTTCTTTAACGTTCCTTAATTCCCAGGCTTACGCTGTCAAAGTAGACAAAAATGGCGAATGAATATTCAGCGCAGAAACTATGAATCATTGGTAAGCTAAGACACCAAAGCCGCATCTGGTTCTTAGCATATGATAATCGGTGATAAAAAAAAAGTACTCAGATTGTTCATAAACGTGATTTTATTCATGGAAGTGATAAACAAGTTAATGGTGGAATCATAAAAACAACCTCCAATCTTTGACGTTCGCGCATCAAAAGGACAACTTCACTGATCAAAAACCGATGATAACATTGATGCATTCGATGGTCAACATATTTGGCTTCTTGGGCTCGATGGTCGATAGCTTCTTGAGCTTTTGTAGACGAATCGGCAAGTAGTTGAGCTTCTGGCTCGAGTACCACTTGTAGCGAACACGCAATAACAAGCTTTTCGACAAAATAGCGGCGTAAACCGGGACCAGTCAATTAGGGGAACAACTCAAACAAGTATAAGGACTTGCTGGGAAATGCAAAAACAAATCTCTCTCAGCTCCTCCACCTCTCTGGAACAGGTCAGAAAGGATGGATATTTTTGCGGCCTTACTGGCTACAATTCTCGCAATCGCTAAAGAAAGCATGGGATCCATTTCTGACGTCGAACATACCCATATGCTCTCCGTAGGCTCAGAATTTTGATAACATGTTCAGCAAAATATTCTGAATGCCAATGGAAAACGCACGTAATAGATTTCCTCATAGGATTGCGGTAGAAAGCAAAAAGGTCCGATGATATTGCCATATCTTAGCTATCGTCATTATGTCGAGAAAACCATCGTAAAAAAGGTTGCAGCAATCATATCCAAGAAGAATATTAAGCGTACTTTCTGACTCAGCAGGGAACGGTCAGAACTTAACCCAGCCATACCAAACATGCTGTATATCATCGGACTCGTCTTAGAACGCTGATCACAAATGTATGTTTAATATCTGCCGAGCAACTATCTGGGCGGAATTATGAACGTTCAAATGTGCGATTTGTCAGGTGCTGAGGCGCATGTTCCACGAAATACGTTTCAAAAACACTTGTTTGAATTTTCAATGAATGTGCTCCTTCCTCGAAATCAGAATAACCACAGCCACTGTAAATCCGCGCCATCAGGCTGCCATCCAACGCAATACTTTCGTCGAAACTCGAAAAATTTTTCATACTTAAGGCTCATAACTCCTCCCAGATAGCTGCTTGGCAGATAAAAAACATATTTTTGAAATCAGCGGTTCAAGACGAGTCCGATGATATACAGCTTGTTTGGAATGGCTGGGTTAAGTTCTGACCATTTCCATCATTAAACTGTGGACAGATTGTAATTTTGCAACATCATGATTTTTTTCCATGCTGAAATCTAGCAGAACTGCAAAATTAGACTGCTCTGAAGAAGTTTTGAGTGCTGAGCCTGGCCTTTTGAGTTAGACTGCGAACACTCTAGGAATGAACGAAAAATGAAAAATTTGAATACTAGTCTAACCCATAAACGAGCAATTTCCTACTAATCACTCAAATCATGCAATTTCATGACATTTCAGATTAGAAAGTCATACAAACAGACCAATTCCAGTTCTGCCTTTACCATTCGAAAAAATGCGAGTGGCGCAGAAAGCAAAAATCACTTACAACAACATGCAAGAGTCATGATGAAGTTGACGTGAAACCAAGAACCAATGCTCACTCCCATCTGTTAAGAAACAAATGTTAATAAATCTATATTGTTTTACTTATACGTGAAGAGTTCCTTGATACATAAA